GCGTGCCCTCACTGGCAGGGCCAAGTCCACACAGAACTGCGCACCACGAAACATGCCGCGTTTGAGCAAGCTCCGCTTGCAAAGCAAGAAACGGGTGCCCTGCGGGGAGAGTGTCAAAGATTCTGCCATGCACAGGATCAGCATGAAGCTCTTCAGGAAAGCTGCGACAAACGCCCTGATTCAGCACTGGCTGATAACAGCAGTAAAAGCGGTTGCAGTGCGGGCAAGTCAGCTGGATGTCAGCAAGCCTGTGCGAGAAGGCTGAAGCGGCTCAGTGTCCTTGCCCTCGGGCAGCGCCAAACCGGGCGGCTGTGATGCCGCCGAGCAGGTCTAGAGCACATCGGCGCCATGCTCCTGCCGCACTGTCGTGGCTGTCGTAGCCATTTGAGGCCGAGAACATCCGGAAGCTACCCGGACATCATCACGCCATGAGCATTGTTTCGGCATGCTACAATAGTAGAAGTCGCGGTTCGGGTAGCGAGCATCATCAAAGGGGACGTCGTAGGCCCGCTTCGGCTGCTCGGGTCTTTGCTGCACATGTCCTCTTGCTGGGCCCGTGACATCCGTGCCCAGAGCAGAACGCCCAGAACAGCCACCAGAACGCGGACGCTGGATTGCCTAGGAGTGTGCTTCGCCTGGGAGCAGCTGCTCAGGCCTTGTCCAAGCTTCAGCGGCTCCCTGAAGACCCCTATACCTTCCAGATCGAGGCGCCGCAGCGCCGCAGCTGCGGCGACGGCATCAGCACGAACAGTGCGCCTAGGAGCTGCAAGCAAGCTGCGCGAGCCGCGCGACGAAAACCAACAAGGTCAGGAACGGATGGAGCTCAAGTTTCCGACGAAACCCGAATGCACGGGCAACAGAGGCAACTCGAAGCGACAACCTTGCGGGACCAGAGCACTGCTTGGGATCGCCTCGTCGGTCCGCCATGGATGCTGCGGGACACGAGCAATCCCAGAAGCTTGTGCAAAGCGCAGCGCCCCTCTGCCAGGCCAGCTGAACCCCAGCCACTCAAGGCAATCACGTCTCTAGCGCAGGCTTGCGCAAGCCCAGCGACGAGCTGTTGCAGCATTCGGGATCGGCAAAGTTGAGTCTTTAGAGCCGCAAGGCATCAGCTCGCCTCACTGGCACAAGTCCCCATTCTCCTGTTGGAACTGCTAGGTGTCTTTGCCCTCGGGCAGTAGCTCAGTTCTGCCCAAGCAAATCAGCAGGCCTCTCTGCCAAGGCTAAGTCTGAAACGAGCTCGGCTCTCCTTGAAGGGCCAGAAACGAAACCTTGCGGGGCGGATGTTTGAGCTCCCGCGACGCAACGCGCTGCGCGTTAACACCGCTGTAAAGACCGCTTGACATCAAGCAGTTCAGCTGAACACCAAAAAACCTATGTGATTCCCTGAGCCCCACACCAGCACGCCTTACTGGCAGGGCCAAGTCCGCACAGAGGAAAAGAGCTACTGCTGGATGGCGTGAGCGCTTTCCACCTGCTGCCATCGCAAGGAGCCATTCTCGAGCAGAGTGGAGCAGGGCAAGTTTGAGACAAGCAACATTGACTCCCCATCCGTCTCTTGGAGTCCCAACCTCGCCTAGGACGCTGCACGTGACTTAAGCGACAAACTTCTTGTGGAAGCTTAACCTAACCTGGCCAACGAACGGAGGTCTGCCGCACTATGGTTTGGCAAGCTGGTCCAACAATGCTTGGCAAGAACAGCAAAGACGGCTGGTCTTCATGCAACTAAGCTGCATTTCAGACAACCTGCTGAATCGGCTCAGTGTCATTGCCATCAAGCAATAGCTTCTTTCTGCCTGGAGCATATCAACACGCCTCACTGGGCTAAGTCCGGACATCCGGCATGAGCTTGGCCCCGCTTGCAGAGCAAGAAACGAAACCTCGCAAAGAGAACGTCTGAGCTCCTGCGATGCACAGGACCAGCGTGACCTCTTTGCTGTTGAGGCAACTTTGGTAGACACTCTGTCTCAAGACTGCGCATGACCACAGGAAAGACCGCTTGTCTTCAAGCTGCGCAGGTGCACATTGAGCGGACGGCAGCATTCCAAGGTAAACCCAAAACCCTAAACCCTAAAACGAAGGCAAGGTATCGGCCGGCAGATTTCGGGCCAGCAGGCAGATGCTCTTGCTGAGCCGTTCGTCACTTTAAGTACTTCGACAGACGGAAAGGCCCATGGCCTGACGTGGCCGACTGCGACTACAAAGCGAGCATCGTCTAAGCATCGTTGAAGGTATCGTCCCGTTCCTACCACATGACTTGTGCGATCACGTTGCACGTTCAACAGGGAGGTATCGTTTTCGGTATTCTGATTAGCCATCGCGTCGCCAGAAAACTGTGCTATGTCACCCCTGCAGTACCCCACAACAAGCCAAAAACACGCTGTCGCTCACATCAGAGAACCTATGCGAGAAGGACTTTCCTCTACTCTGCTGCGCCGGCTCAGTGTCCGTCCCTTAGTCTCAGAGCCGAACCGTTTCTCGGGAAAGAGCATGAAAGAGCTGCAGCTCCATAGCGCGAATGCTTTCCACTCACTGCCGTCGCTGTTGCGCAGACCGGTGCATCCATCTCTTGAAGTCCAACCCTCAGCTGCCTACAACCACTGGGCGCGACTTAGGGTTCACAATCTTCTTATAGGAGATTAACCTGGGCAGCGAAGGGCAGGCCGCACGCCAGAGTGCTGAATTGGCATTCTGCAAGAAATTCAGCTACACGTCAGAAAATCCATGTGAGAAGGGCTTTCCCCTTCTCTGCTGAATCGGCGGAGCGTCATTGCCCTCAGGCAATAGCTCGGTCCTGCCCTGAGCCTCACAGGCAGGGCTAAGTCCGGACATCCGGCACGAGCTCGGGAAAGAGCTGCTGCTGCGTGGTGCGAAAGCTTTCTACTCGCTGCCGTCACAAGCAGCTCTTTTCGAGCAGAGTGGGGCAGGGAAAGTTTGAGAAAAACAAACTGACTGACCCCCCCATGTGTCGCATGAAGTCCAAACCTCACCTGCTTACAACGAAGGATGACTGTAGTTCAGCCCACTCCGCATGATGATGAGTTGTCGGAGGCCACTGTGCGGCAGTTAAGGCAAAACATCTCAAGCCGAGGATACAAGCACTTCTGAGCACGCGCGATCGCCACCAGCAATGTGTGGGTTGAGGGTGAGAGGCCGGGGCGGCTCGTGACGTAAGCAACAATTGTGGACGGTTAACTTGGGTCAGAGGGTTGGGGCTATTCGTGACGTAAGCCACACAATTGTGGACGATTAACTTGGCCAGCGAACGGAGGCCCCTTCGCCAGAGTTCTGAATTGGTAGTCGGCTTCAGCACCGGTTGACAAAACAGCAGCAAAGACGTCTTGTCTGCAAGCAACTCAGCTACGCGGGAAGGGCTTTCCTCTACCAGCATGGGGCACCTCAGCGCACGCCTCACTGGCCGAGCCAGGCCAAGTCCACGGGGGACTCGTTGCACATGGCTATATTGTCCCCATCCATCTCTTGAAGTCCAAACCTCACCCGCTTGCCACAAAGGAAGCTGCGTGTGACCCAGACCACAATCTTCTTGTGGATGGTTCCCTGGCCAGCGAGTGGTCCGCGCGCTGCGGACCTTGATTTGGCAACCCCTGCTCTGTTTTAGCCAAGGCAACAGTACCTTCCACCACGGCCGGGTGAGCCTGAGGTGTTCAGAGTCAGGACATCTTGGCTGGACGTCTGGAGCTCCGCGTGCAGAGCAAGAAACCGAAGGTGTGGGCGCAGAACGTCGCACTGCACAGTGTCGGCATGAACCTGGTTAAGGCAGCTCTGGTGAAGTTCAGTTTCAACACTGGTTGACAGCAGTACAGGAAACTTGTGCGAGAAGGACTTTCCTTCACCTTGCTGAATCGGCTACCCTCAAGCAAGCGCTGGGTTCAGCATTGGGCACATCAGCCTCACTGGCCGAGCCAGGCCACATCTACACAGAACTGGACTGCTTCTTGGCTGGAAAGAGCTGATGCTACGTTGCGCCGGCAATCTGCAATCTCCGCCGTTGCGGGAGACTCGTTGCACATGGCTATATTTACGCCATCCATCTCTTGAAGTCCAAACCTCACCCGCTTGCCACAAAGGAAGCTGCGTGTGACCCAGACCACAATCTTCTTGTGGATGGTTCCCTGGCCAGCGAATGGTCCGCGCGCTGCGGACCTTGATTTGGCAATCCCTGCTCTGCTTTAGTAAAGGCAACAGTACCTTCCACCACGGCCGGGTGAGCCTGAGGTGTTCAGAGCCAGCACAACTTGGCTGGACGTCTGGAGATTCTGCGACGCACCAGGTCGGCGTGAACCTTTCCAAGGCGGCAGCGATGAACACTGAGCTTCAACACAGCCTGACAGGTGCGGTAGAAACGGTTGACCTTCAAGCAATTCAGCTGCATGTCAGCAAAGCCTGAGCGAGAAGGGCCTTGCTCTACCATGCAGAAAGGGCTAAGCCGGCCAAGCCGGCTAAGCCTATTTGCCCTCAGGCAAGTGCTCAGTTCCGCCTGGGGCACATCAGCTCGCCGCACTGGCGAGGGCCAAGCCCATCATTGAACCTACACATCGCTTGAAGTCCGAGCCTCATCCGCTGGAAACAACGGATGCTGTGCCTGACATGCCTGACTTAACCACCATCTTCTTGTGTAGGATTCACCGGGCCCGCGAACGGAAGTCTGTGCGCTAGGACGGTTCGTCTCTCAAGCAGCTTAGCTGCGCATCAGCAAGCCCGGCTGAGAGAAGGACTGTCCTCTGTCTGCGGAAACCGGAAAGGGCTGTGTGCGCTGTTCCGCGGCTGTGTCATGTGCCTTGGAGCAGGTCTAGAGCACATCGGCACCATGGTCGTGCCACACTAATGCGACTGTCGTAGCCATTTGAGGCCGAGAACATCCGGAAGCTACCCGGGCATCATCACACCATGAGCAGTGCTTCGGGCTTCGGCATGCTACAAAAGTAGAAGTCGCGGCCTGCTTCGGCTGCTGGGGTGACTGCCGCACATGTCGCTTTAGCCTATGGCCGGGCCCGTGCCATCCGTGCCCAGAGCAGAACGCCCAGAACAGCCACCAGAACGCGGACGCTGGATTGCCTAGGAGTGTGCTTCGCCTGGAAGCAGCTGCTCAGCCCTTGTCCAAGCTTCAGCGGCTCCCTGAAGACCCCTATACCTTCCAGATCGAGGCGCCGCAGCGCCGCAGCTGCGGCGACGGCATCAGCACGAACAGTGCGCCTAGGAGCTGCAAGCAAGCTGCGCGAGCCGCGCGACGAAAACCAACAAGGTCAGGAACGGATGGAGCTCAAGTTTCCGACGAAACTCGAATGCACGGGCAACAGAGGCAACTCGAAGCGACAACCTTGCGGGACCAGAGCACTGCTTGGGATCGCCTCGTCGGTCCGCCATGGATGCTGCGGGACACGAGCAATCCCAGAAGCTTGTGCAAAGCGCAGCGCCCCTCTGCCAGGCCAGCTGAACCCCTGCCACTCAAGGCAATCACGTCTCTAGCGCAGGCTTGCGCAAGCCCAGCGACGAGCTGTTGCAGCATTCGGGATCGGCAAAGTTGAGTCCTCAGAGCCGCAGGGCATCAGCTCGCCTCACTGGCACAAGTCCACACAGACCTGTTGGAACTGCTAGGTGTCTTTGCCCTCGGGCAGTAGCTCAGTTCTGCCCAAGCAAGTCAGCAGGCCTCTCTGCCAGGGCTAAGTGTGAAACAAGCTCGGCTCTCCTTGAAGGGCCAGAAACGAAACCTTGCGGGGCGGATGTCTGAGCTCCTGCGACGCAACGCGCTGCGCGTTAACACCGCTGTAAAGACCGCTTGACATCAAGCAGTTCAGCTGAACACCAGAAAACCTATGTGATTCCCTGAGCCCTACACCAGCACGCCTCACTGGCAGGGCCAAGTCCGCACAGAGTCGAAATAGAGCTACTGCTGGGCGGCGCGAGCGCTTTCCGCCTGCTGCCATCGCAAGGAGCCATTTTCGAGCAGAGTGGAGCAGGGCAAGTTTGAGACAAGCAACGTCTCTTGGAGTCCCAACCTCGCCTAGGACGCTGCATGTGACGAGCTTTTGTAGCATTCGGGGTCCTGCGCGTCAGAAAACCTGCATGAGATGGACTTTCCGTTACTCTGCTGAATCGGCTGAGCGTCCTTGGCATCAGGCAAGACGTCAGTTGAACCTGGAGCACATCAGAACGCCTCACCGGCAGGGGGCAAATCCCCACAGAGCCGGATGGCTTCTTCGCTGGAAAGAGCTGCTACCGCGTTTCCCGAAGCTTTTCCGATTTACTGCGCAGGTCTTGGAGGGCTCGCTGGCTTGCGCGTGAACGTCAAGAGCGGCTGCGAACCACGACTCTGAGTGGGCACAGCGTCTTTGCCCTCAAGAGCTCAGCCCCGAGGCACATCAATGTGCCGTCGCGCACCGCATCTCGGGTTGAAAACCTGCTGCATTTGTGCGATCTCCGCCTGCAAAGCAAGAAACGGAGGTCCTGCGGGGAGCGCGTTGGAGATTCTGCATTCAGGAAATCTGCGACAAACGCGCTGATTCAATACTGGCTGACGACAGTAATGATGATCTTGCGAGCAACTCAGTTTGTGAGATAACCTGTGCGAGAAGGACTTTCCTCTGTGCTGAACAGAGCTGAGCTCAAACTGGTCAGCTGTCTGCTCATGTGCCACCGAGCAAGTCTAGAGCACATTGGAGCCATGGTCCCACCTCACTGCCGTAGCCATTTGGGGTCGAGAACATACGGACGCTACCGGGGCATCATCACGCCATGAGCACTGCTTCGGCATGCTACAAGCAAAGAGGCACGTCGCAGGCCTGCTTCGGCTGCAAGGGTCACTGCTGCACATGTGGCTTTAGCCTCTTGCTGAGCCCGTGCCATCCGTGCCCAAAGCAGAATGCCCAGAACAGCCACCAAAACGCGGACGCTGGATTGCCTAGGATGCATCGCCTGGGAGTGGCTGCTCAGCCGCATCCTTGTCCAAGCTTGAGCGGCTTCCTGGAGACACCTATACCTAGATCAAGGCATGACAACTCCTCAACCGCCTTGAAAAGGCATGGCGCAACGATGGCAGCTCGGGAGATCCCCTGAGAAAAGTTGCAGCCCACAGGCAACTGAAGCCTGCCATATGGTCTTATGAGTCCTGTGGTCATGGAATGTTCAATGCTCGCAGTCATTTGGGCCCGAAGAGGCTCCCAGGATAACCTTGACTACATCCGCACGCCACAGGCGCAGGTGGGTGAAATGTCCGGTTGGTCCTTCCACCGCAGGAAGCATGCGTAGCCCAACGGCTGAATCGAACCTGCGAACAACTAGCGAAAGTTGTTTAAAGGCTCTTGGCCCCAGGATCGTACATGAAGAGCACGTGTCGGAATAGACCGGTAAAGAGGAAGCATCTCGAAGCAACCTGGCAGGAAGAGAGCACGGCTTGAGATCGCCGTATCGGTCTGACGGTCTGCCATGGATTTTGCGGGACATGATCACTCGGGCGAAGCGTAGCACCCTTCTCCCAGGCCAGCAATCATGCCTCGAGCGCAGGCGCGCAAGCCCGGCGACGAGCTTCTGTAGCATTCGGGGTCCTGCGCGTCGGAAAACCTGCATGAGATGGACTTGCCGTTACTCTGCAGAATCGGCTGAGCGTCCTTGGCATCAGGCAAGAAGTCAGTTGGACCTGGAGCACATCAGCACGCCTCACCGGCAGGGAGCAAATCCCCACAGAGCCGGGTGGCTTCTTCGGTGGGAAGAGCTGCTACCGCGTGGCGCGAAGCTTTTCCGATCTACTGTGCAGGTCTTGGCGTGCTCGCTGGCTTGCCCGTAACGGTCAAGAGCGGGTCATAAGAACTCTCCACATTCTGTCGGGAACTATATTTGCTGAGCAGCATCCGCAAAGAGCTGCTACGGCTGCGTCGCACGCACGGTTTCCAAATCTCTGCTGTCGCCGAACCATAGCGGTGCAAAGCATTGCAAAGCGGGCAAGTTTGAGATCCCATCTCTTGAAGTGCGAACGACAACGGACGCTGCACGTGATGTAACCCCGCAATCTTACTGATCAACCTGGCCAGCAAACGGAGATCCGCATTCCAGAGCTCTGAATTCGCAACGGGTTTCGAGAACCGCAGAAAAGTCGACGTGTCTTCAAGCAGAAAAGTCGATGCGTCTTCAAGCAATTCAGCTGCATGCAACAAGGACTTCCCCCTACTCGGCTACAGTCTCTTTACCCTTGAGCAAGAACTCAGGTGCGCCTGGCGCACACCAGCATGCCTGGCTGCCAAGGCCAAGTCCATGTAAAACCGGCCTGTCTCTCGGGTGGAAAGAGCTGCTGTTGTGTTGCATGAACTGCCGTAGCGGAAACCATTGTGCCAAGTGGGGTGGGGCAAGCCGGAAATGAGCAACGTGGACCCCAGCTACGTCTTGACGTCCAAAGCCCATCTTGCCAGAAAGAATGCTGCACGTGACTTAAGCCACAATCTTAGTCTTCTTCTGGAATGTTAAACTGGCCGGCGAATGCAGATCTCCGTACCAGAGCTCAAGTTCGGTAACCTTTTTGAACACTTCTTGACAACAGCAACCAAAACGGCTCGCCTTCACGCAGTTCAGTGGTTTCCTCTACTCTGCTGAAAAATTGCTCATTGGTGTTGTCCCCCTAAACCCTAAACCCTAAACCCTAAACCCTAGACCCTAAACCCTGAACCCTAAACCCTAAACCTCCGCCCGGTGCACCTCAGCAGCTGGCTGAGGAACGGAAGCCCTGCGGAGCGAACGCCGAGATTCTGCGATGCACCGGGTCCGCGTGAACCTTTCTAATGCGGCGGCGATGAACACTGAGCTTCAACACAGCCTGACAAGTGCGGTAGAATCGGTTGACCTTCAAGCAATTTGGCTGCATGTCAGCAAGCCTGAGCGAGAAGGGCCTTCCTCTACCACGCAGAAACGGCTAAGCCGGCTAAGCCGATTTGCCCTCAGGCAAGTGCTCAGTTCCGCCTGGGGCACAGCTCGCCTTACTGGCAGGGCCAAGTCCATCATTGAACTACACGTCTCTTGAAGTCCGAGCCTCATCCGCTGGAAACAACGGATGCTGTGCCTGACATGCCTGACTTAACCACTATCTTCTTGTGTAGGATTCACCTGGCCAGCACACGGAAGTCTGTGCGCTAGATTGACAGCAGCTGAAAAGACGGTTCGTCTCGAGCTCGGCTCTCTCTGAAGGGCCAGAAACGAAACCTTGCGGGGAGGATGTCTGAGCTCCTGCGACGCACTGCACTGCGCGTTAACACGGCTGTAAAGACCCCTTGACATCAAGCAGTTCAGCTGAACACCAAAATACCTATGTGATACACCAGCACGCCTCACAGGCAGGGCCAAGTCCGCACAGAGTCGAAAAAGAGCTACTGCTGGGCGGCGCGAGCGCTTTCCGCCTGCCGCCATCGCAAGGAGCCATTCTCGAGCAGAGTGGAGCAGGGCAAGTTTGAGACAAGCAACATGGACTCCCCATCCGTCTCTTGGAGTCCCAACCTCGCCTAGGACGCTGCATGTGCCGAGCTTTTGTAGCATTCGGGGTCCTGCGCGTCAGAAAACCTGCATGAGATGGACTTTCCGTTACTCTGCTGAATCGGCTGAGCGTCCTTGGCATCAGGCAAGACGTCAGTTGAACCTGGAGCACATCAGCACGCCTCACCGGCAGGGGGCTACCGCGTTTCCCGAAGCTTTTCCGATTTACTGCGCAGGTCTTTGAGGGCTCGCTGGCTTGCGCGTGAAGGTCAAGAGCGGCTCCGAACAACCACCATCGTCTTGAGGACTCTGAGTGGGCACAGAGTCTTTGCCCTCAAGAGCTCAGTCCCGCCTGAGGCAGACCTTGACTACATCCGCACGCAGGTGCAGATGGGCGGAATGTCCGGTTGGCCCTTGCACCGAAGGAAGAATGCGTAGCCCAACGGCTGAATGGAGCCGGCGAACAACTGGCGCAAGTTTCTTAAAGTTCTTGGCCCCAAGATCGTACATGAACAGCACGTGTCGCACGGAGCGGGCAGAGGAAGCATCTCGAAGAAACAGGCAGGAATAGAGCACGGCTTGAGATCGCCTTATGGGTCTGACGGTCTGCCATGGCTTTTGCGAGACATGATCACTCTCTCAGGCAAAGCGTAGCGCCCTTCTGCCAGGACAGCAATCATGTCTCGAGCGCAGGCGCGCAAGCCCGGCGACGAGCTTTTGTAGCATTCGGGGTCCTGCGCGTCGGAAAACCTGCATGAGATGGACTTTCCGTTACTCTGCAGAATCGGCTGAGCGTCCTTGGCATCAGGCAAGACGTCAGTTGGACCTGGAGCACATCAGCACGCCTCACCGGCAGGGGGCAAGTCCCCACAGAGCATGGCTTCTTCGGTGGGAAGAGCTGCTACCGCGTGGCG